GCAAATATCCTCCTTTTAAGCAGACCAAGGTGTGGCTCTGATACTTCTGTATCACTGGCATTTTCTTTTAGAAAAAAAATCCTATCTGAAACAGCATATAATCATATTTATTATTTTAGTATGATAGCCTTCATATCTCCCTAAAATATGTTACAAAGTCATATGATACAGAAATACAAAAATAAAAAATGGTTCATTTGCACTTTCAATCATAGTTGTGGTTAAGAGTTGGACATGGTGGCCCACACCTGTAATTCTAGTATTCTCAAGGTTGAGGCAAGGAGGTTGCAAGTTTAAGGCCAGCCTACACTACATAAGCAGTCCCTGTCTCAAAAACACCAATCAATCAACCAGTTAATCAATCCATCAATAGCTCTGGCTAATAAACTAGTATCCAGAAAACATTCACAAAATTTTAGTCTGTAATCTATAGTTTCATTTAATGGTTAATCAACTGCTTTAAAGATTTAAAGGAAAACTTAAAAGTGATTTTTCCCCAAAGGTGAAGTTGTATGCAGGGATTTTTAAAATATCCTCTACTCCTCACAGCTTTGGTTTCCTTCTTTATCTCACTCAAAGGTGCTTAAACAATCAGGCATTATTTATTGGTTTTCTTTTTCCTATTCAATGATTCCCCCTGATTATATGGAATCAACAGTGTTTTAGAACTATTCCTCTTGATATCCAAGAATTATCTATCACAAAAATGAAGAACAATGATAATGATGTCTTGGAATGTATACAATATTCCCACAGACTAAGGCATCATCCTAATAGGTATCACAGTCTATACAGTTTAATTCATTATGTGCAAATATAAAGTTTGTCACTTTGAGGTACATATTTTAATTCAGATGTTATATTTCAAATCTTTTCTTACCTAAATAAAAACCCTGAAGTATAAAAACATTTACATTGGGTGTAAGCACTATGAGGCCAGAGATTTGCATTTGATTCACTGCTGTAAACTCAGTGGCTGGAACAGTGCTTGCCACACAAGTGAAATTTAAATCATGTCAAATCCAAACCCAGTCTTTATGCCTTTTTGTAAAATGCTAGCCTTTAAGTGTCCATGAAATATTTTACAACCTGGGGAACTAATTTGCACCCCTTTGTCTTGAAATATTAAACAAAAACCACTTACTTGTTTTCAGACATTCATATATTCTTTTTCTAGTTTAAAAGTGTTTGAATTCTGTTTTCCACCTACTACTAAAACCCTGCTTTTAAAATAAATCAGCACAAAAAAAAATAAATCAGCACATGAAAATATACTCTATAAAAGGATGAAAGCTCCTTTAAAATAGGCTACTATGTTACACTAAAATATAATTTGAGCTGGCTAATAAGCACTACACATATGATGGTGCTCAACTGACATGTTGTCAGAAAATTACAAAGTGAAACAATGAAGTACCATCATACACATATTATAATGGCCAAAATTCAAAACCTTCATAATACCAAATGCTAATAAGGAGACAGAGTAACAGGGACTTATATTCATTTCTGGTAAAAATGCAAAACATTACAGCCACTTTGAAACACTGACAATTTCTTATAAAATTAAACATACTCTGCCCATATGACCTAGCAGTCACGTTCTTTGCTATTTATCTAAATGAGTTAAAAATTTATGGTCTATGTAAAAAGCCACACAGAGACATTTATCATAACAGCTCTGCCCACAACTGTCAAAACTTAGAAGTTAGCAATATTTATAAACTGGTACATCCAGATAATGGATAAAAGGAAATGGGCCACCACACCATGAAGATACAGAGGAATCTTAAATGCATATTAGTAAGTGAAAGAAGCTAATCTCAAAAGGCTACATACTGAATAACCCTAGTATGTAGCATTCTGAAAAAGGCAAAATGATGGAGACAGTAAAAGATCATGCTTACCACTGTGGAGGGAAGGATGAATCAGTAGAGCACAGAAGAGGTTTAGGGCAGAGCAATTATTCTACGTGATACTCTGATGGTGGATACAGGTCGTACATTTGTCCAAATCCATAGCATGCATACAGTACAGGAACTAACACAGACTAGGGGCTTTGGGCAACAGCAGAATGTCAGAGCAGGTTCATCAAAAGCAACAAATCCATCAGTATGCACTCATGGGGGCAGGAGGTAGAGAGGAACACACTATACTCTGTCCTTAATGGTTCTATGAACCTGAAACAGCTCAGAAAAAAAGTAGTCTATTGAAATATTGAAAAACATGTTAAGATCAATGAGAGAGAGAGGGAAAGAGGGATAAGGAGAGAGGGAGAGGGAAAGGGAAAGAGACTGAGAGGGAGAGGTAAAGAGATAGGGAGGGAGGGGGCGAGAGAGAGGAGATTGTTCTGGTTCACAGTTTTCGATTTTCCAGTTCATAATCTATTGGCCCCATTATTTGGGACTCTGGTGGGGATGCTGGATGGCAATGGCAGAGAGCATACATCAGAGCAACCCGCTCAAGGCCTGGCCAGGAAAAAAAGAGAAAGAAGAGCCCAGGGCCCTGCAGGTCCCTTCAAAGGCACGTAGCAGACAGCTTAGGGAACCTCCCACTGGGCTCCACCTCCTCAAGGTTCCACCTCCTCCCAACAGCACTGCCCTGGGGACCAACCCTTCAACTTTCAGACCTCTGGAGAATGTTTTTTCCACCTACAGCATATGGTGAAATTTTATATCTATAAATACAAGCACTTATGCATAGACGTACACATCGATACTTATATTTACATATATCCACAGAAAAACCTTAAGATAGCTATAGGCTCTCCTCTGTAACAAAGAAGTATAATAGTTTTCTTTTAATTCAAATAGGAGATAAAATTACTATATAACATCAATTATAGAACATTTATTCCTGGTAACAAGGTAACCTTCTGGTATATGATGGTAATCCTAATCGTATACTTATCAAGAGGAAAATGTGGGTGTTACCATAGAAACTATGAGGGCTGCTTAGTGTCTCCGTATGAGCAGTTATACCTGTTGGGCCACTTAAATCTAAATTTAAAGGTTTCCTTTTAACAGGGAAAGGAGGAAAATGTCTACATTTGTCATTTTAAAAACTGGTTAATATACTACATGATAATGCAAACTAAACTGATCACAATACACACACACACACACCCCACAACCACCACCAAAGTGATAGGTTAACACTGGGTGGCTGCCAGTTGTTGACTTTGTTCTGATTCTCTCAGGATTAGTTTTCCTGGTCCAGGATGCCTTTAACATTCACTTTCACCTGTATCAAGAATAAATATCAGGTTGCTATAATTTTGTGAGGTTAAAGGAAAAGGATTGTTTTGTCATGTTCAGCTAAGTAAAAGAGCTCAAAGCTCTGAAAGATGTACTCTAAACAATCTAGGAACATCTCCTTTTGCCAGGATATGAAGCAATTTTCAACTGGAGAATATAATCTTGTTCACACAAAAGCACTATGCCCTCAGTTCCTCTTAAACCATATGTAGTGCAATGGTTCTAACACAAGGAAATCCGTTTCTGAATTCCTGAGGGAGCCTCAACTAACATATTTGCATTTAATATGTCCACCTCCTCTTAGCACACTCAATGTGTTACAGACAACAAAATAAGCCTTAACAGGTGCCTGGATCGCACTTGCTGCAATAGCCTCAGTCAACACATTTATTATGCTTGGGAGCTGTGTAAGGCCTCACATAACAACCACAGTTTGTGTTTTGAGACACCAACTTTCTCTTTACCTGATACAGCTCAATTGCTCAACAGCAGGGGCAGAGTTGTCTACATATCCAGGACTTTGGGGGGGAATAAATAGCCATGTAAAGTTCTGTCAATACTAATTATATTTTCATAAATTTTAATGTTGAAAAGATGAAAGATTACAGAGTAAACTTATGCTGATAAACATATGGACAGATGCATGCTCCAGCAGCATAAAAACGCAGATGGTCTTAAAGCGACACAAACAAAACCCTACAAATGAAATGAACCACAAAATCATCAGTACTCCTTCAGAACAAGATTTTAAAATATTACACACTACTCTAAGTTCTCATTTTATATTAATAACTTTTATAATCTTGCTATTTCAGGAAAGCTTCATTTCATATTTTGGGTCTGATATTAACAATCTTTCCACCATTTAGGGCTCGGTGACATCAAATGACAGACAAAGGGCTTATCAAGTAGTTGTTCTCCAAGCTTCAAGGAAAGCACTAAACAAAAACAGCACCTTCTATCTGCTATCAGTCCCCATCTCCACGGCACCCCCAACCTTTTCAGGTATGGCGCAGCCAAAAAGAGGTAGCTATGACATGTCTTTCCCATTCTATTTCAAGTGCAAGCCATGATAAAATGGGAAACTGCAGCTGTCCCCCATGGTGGACTTCTGGGGTCAGTCTCTAGCTTCAAATGAAGAATTTGGCCTTGACTTGACCAACGTCCCCATGAGCCCCTACTATGCAACTAGCCATTAGGTTTTCTGGCTCAATATTAATTATCAGAAACGTATTAGTGGACAAATATATAGTAGATATGTATAAGATAACAAATATAGAGAGAGGTCAACATGTTGTCTTAGGCCCTGAGTCACACAGACACACACGCACATTTCAAGTTCAAATCCCAGCAAGGCACCCTGAGCATCCACTCGGGAGAGGGGGGGAAGGAGCCACAAACAGAGGTTAAACCAGACACCAGCCAAAAGAAACATCACTTTCAGAACAGGGGAAACTTTGGGTCTGGGCGGCTGCAGAGCCCAGAAATGACCGGGGGAGGGGAGGGAGTGTCAGACAGTCTCAGGAAAGGAAGACAGGAGCGCACCCAGCCTGGGCAGGCAGCTGAGCTGCAGAGGAGGCTGCTGTCCCCGGGGGACAAGGGCGTCGCCGCCATCCCCGGCTGCAGAGCCCCTTCTCTGAGACCGGGCGCGTCCTCAGGGTCACTGGGGCAGCACCGTCACCCCAATCTTTCCACAGACACTGTCCCCACAGATCCACAGAGACAAGGGGACCAGGGACCTACCTGGTGTAGCGTCTCAGCTGGCAGCTGCGACGCCCGAAACAGATCGGCCACGGGTCCAGCAGCCGCGGTGGCAGCGCCCGAGGCGACCCTGGAGGTCTCGGGGTGCCCGGGACCCGGGCCCCCGCTCGCAGCTCCCGCACACCGTGCAAAGAGCTCGGAGTAACACTGCTGCTCGCTCTCACTCAGCAGCGGCGGCCCAGAGCCGCAGCCTCCACCCGCCGCCGCCTCCATGGGCCCTCAAGGGGGCCCTGCGGAGTACGGTCCCTGACTGAGGTGCCGCCTACTCCGCAGCCGCCGCCTCGGCCTCGCCCGCCGCCGCCCCCACGCCCAGCAGCTGCCGCGAGGCCGCTTCCTCCCGGCGCGCGCGGGCCCCGCCCCCGGGCTTGAATGTTGTGCCTCCGCACTGCACATGGAGACAGGCGCGACGCTGACCAATCACGGCGATGGATCCCAGCAACGCCCCGCCCCCGATGCCCGCCCCGCCCCGTGCCAGGTAACTAACTCCGCGTGCTGGTGGTCACCTGCTTGGCTGGCTGCTCAGCTGTTGAAGCTGGTGGGTGGCGTCCCCACAATGTGTCAAGCCCACTGTGACCCGAGGGGCATCTTTGGCTCTCTGCCCTGGCTGAGAAGGAAGCATTTAGCACACGTAGAAAATAATGCTTTTCAGGGAACAGGAAAGCTATGGTACTTTCTCCCTAGGAGCCTGGAGCAGGTTTGGTGCCCACACCACACAGTGCCCTTCCTGGAAAGCAGATGGAGTGCAGGAAGGTAGATTTCCCTTTTTCCAGACAGTACTGGTTATTTCCTGAAAAGCTGGGGGCAAAGAATGACCAAACGAATGCTGTCCCGGCTTCTCTCCAGAGTGTCTTGGATGGTTATGGGGTCAGCTACTTCCTCAGGCATGGCTCCAATCTGCACTTGAGCCTTAATAAGGAACACCATGGGTCACTCTTGAACACTAGAGTAACAGGAGTTTAAAAAGACCCTCTTTGCAGCTCCTTTGGACCAACCCCTTACGTATGGATAAGGAAGCTGTTGCAGGTTCACCTTTGTTCATCCAGCACTCATTGAATATCTACTGAATAGATTTATATTGCTAGAGCTGGAAAATACAGGCCTCAGTAAGAGAAAGTCCTCACCCTATGTCTTAATTACTTTTTACACTGCTGAGACAAAATATCCAACACCCTAAGTTAAAGAAGTAAAGGTTTATATAGCTCACAGTTTGTAGAGGTGTCAACCCATAAATGGCTGGCTCTAAGGCAGGGCATTATGGCAGAGGGGCACTGCAGAGAATGAATAGTCCATGGCAAAGCAAGCAGGAGGCAGGGAAGCAGCAGGCAACAAGCCTGCCTTCCCTTTCACCTTTTATATTCCATCCAGGCTATAAGCCTATTGATTGGTGCCACCCACACCCAGGGTGGGACTTCCATTATCCACACCCAAAGGCATCCTAATTCCAATCAGACACCCTAGATTACACACCCTAAATCCAGCAGTTCCAAAAAGCCCCACCTATGAGCACAAGAGGCCTGGTGGGACATCTAGATATGACCCGTAACACCGTCCAAGTTTGAGGCAAGCCTGGGCTACAGAGTGAGTTCCTTTTTTTAATCAGGAATCAAACTCAAGATTTTGCACTTGCCAGGCACGCACTGTGCCACTGAACTATATGCCTGGCCCAAGTGAATTCAAAGTCAGCCTGAACTACATGAGACCTTCTTTCATTAAACAACATAAAACATATAAAAGAAAAAATGTTCAACTTTAATGATAGTGAGTAATACTTCCCTTTTGAACTTCAAAGAAATGAAATAGAGAAGAGGATCCATTCATCTCTATTTCTCATTTCTTCACAAGCCTTTCCTCACCCTGTGTTTTGTTTCAGAAAGGAAGATGGCAGGAGGCTTGAGGACAAGTGGACAGAAAAGATAAATTAGGAACAGCAAAGACTAACTTCGCCAGAGACATCACACTTCAAAATCTCACCATATTTGCATTTTCCATGGCTGTGACATCTGAAGGAAAACTAGAGGCCAAAGATAGTTTATTCTCTTCCTACTTTTCCAGTAGTACTCAGGTTTCCTTGCGAATAGCTCGCAATTGTAACAAAGGTCAGAAAGTGACTACTCTACAAATGCCAAACTCTATATTCCCCTGTGGCTCCAAGAGGAAATGTAAGGTTCGTACAGTGGAGGCAGAGGAAAGTGTCAAAGCTCTTCAGAGCCATCAGATATAAACCTCACAGTAAATCTGAGATAAAATAGAAAGACATTTTTATTTTCACTTTGCAAAGAGAAAAGCTTTGCAGAGACTGTGTGATTTGCCCAAGTGGATGTTAGGTTTGACGCTGATCTTCATCATTCAACTGAAATTAGTAAGGGTGTCAGATATTTCTAGTAACAGAAATTACAGTGCTGGATAGACAGTGTCACATGCACCTCTTCATCATGTGAGAGATCATCAACATTTACTGGTTGAAAAAGAAGTATTTCCTGTGTCCCTATTGAAGTACTGAAGAGGAATTCTTTAGAAATGCAAGACATATTTGTTATGATATATTATCCTTTTGACATATACCAGAATTTGACTTACTGTTATTTTGATTACAGGGAGTATTTTCATTTATGTTATGACGGAGATTGGTGTGTAGTTTTCCCTTGTTTTGTTGTGTTTGTCACGTTCAGATATTAAGATTGTGCTGCCTTATGAAACAAGTTAGGAAATGGTCCTTCTTTTCTTACTTGTTGAAAAAAAAATAAAGCTGGCCAAATGTTAATGGAAAAAAATATAAAATATGCTGCTTTTGAAGGAATCTGTAGTCTCGATGAAAAGACAAAACTAACACAACAAAGAAAAGACAATATATAACTAAGTGCTAAATTGTGTGCCCCAGATAACTGCTGTGGAAGTTTGGAAAAGAAAAAACTCCATGAGCCAAAGTGCACCCAAGAAGGCTTGATGTATGGGGCTGATACTCAAACCCACTGAGACTGGGTGAGACTGGGGAAGTATGAACACAGGACAGATGGAGAGGATCACAAGAGAGGGAGGAGCCCTAGAGACTTGGCACCAAAGACGTGATGAGTGAAGGACAGCAGACTGTATCATCAAGGAGTGCAGCCTCTGAAGGTATCCAGGAGGCAAGAGAGACACTGACCAACAAAGATGAGGGGCACAGCCAGAGGGGCCCATCAACAGTAAAGCTTGAAGCCAGGATACAGCAGGAAAAAATGACATTTGTAAGAATGTTTTAATATCTAAGGAATGCCAAGTACTGTTCTGTATTTCTACGATAGTGCTCTGGACAGGAAAATAGTTATCAAACTTCAAAATAAACAGATAAGACTGTAGAAACTAAAAACACTTCTACCCCTTCAGCTGACAGTAAACAAGAACATTTTAGAAGAGCATTCCTGTGTGCTTTTGTAGTACTAAGTTTACACACTGGTTTTGGCTCCATAGAAGCTGATTTACCATATTTGAAGGACTAGTCCAGAATTAGTTTTTGTTTTTTAGATGCACAGAGATGGATAAATTGAAAGATAGAAAATAGCAAACATAAAAATGGACAGACTAAAAGAAATGAAAAAAGTAGACACACAGAGGAAAAGATAGACGGAGAGATGTCAGGGGTTGTGGCACACAGCTGTAATCCCAGCACTTGGACAGTGAGGCAGGAGGATTGCCATGAGTTTGACACCAGCCTGGGCTACATACTGAGTTGATGGTCAGCCTAGACTGCAGAGTGATACCCTGTCTCCAAAAGCAAGAAAATGATAGATGGACAAAAAAGAGAAATAATGACCAGAAAGAAAATATGGGCAGCAGATGGACTACAAGACACACACACACACACACACACACACACACACACAAAGAAAAGATTAATAGATGGACAGAAGGACACAATGAAAGGACAGAAACAGAAGGATAGGCAGACATTCAGAAATATAGATTAACAAAGAAACAGAAAGACAGATAGAACCCCAAACTGACAGAAAGTGAGACAAACAGACAGAAAGATGGACCGCAGAGAAAGGAGCACAGAAAGACGGGAAGATGGGCACAATGAAACAACCCCCCCAAAAGACAGAAAAGCAGGCAGACAGATGAAAAGGCAGACTGACTAAAGACAGAAAGGAGAGATAGACACAGAAAGGTAGACAGAATGATGACAGACAGGCAGACAAGGATGAACATATGGAGAGACAGAAAGATGGACAAAAAGGTAGACCAATGGACTTAATGACAGAAAGGCGAAAGAAAAGGCAAAAAAAATGGTGAACAGGGAGGCAAATAGAAACAGAAACTGGAAATTAAAAGCCAGGCTAAAAACTGTCAGACACATAAACCAAAAGAGACAGAAGAAGGATGAAGGTGAAAAAGCAGATGGACAAATAGATGGACAGAAAGGCAGAAATAAAGACAGAAAGATGACAGAAAGACAGAAAAATAGATGAACAAAAGATGGAATTAAGACAGACAGGTGGACACAGATAACAAGAGACTAACAGGCAGACAGAAAGATGGACAGAAAGAGAAGCAGATACACTGAAAGACAAAAAGTGGGACAGACAAATGCATGCATAGAAAGTCAAAGGAGAAAAAAGATATACAGATATACTGGACAACAAAAAGAAATAAGGACAAGAAGATAAAATGAAGACCTGAGGATCAATGGAATAGATTAGAAGATGCAGAAGCCCCTACAAACACACTCAGCCACCTTATCTTTGATAAAGGGGCCAAACATACTCACTGGAAGAAAGATAGCCTCTTTAACAAATGGTGCTGGAAAAACTGGCTCTCTACATGCCAAAAACTCAAACTTGACCCAGGTCTATCACCATGCACTAAACTAAAGTAAAAAGGGATTAAAGATCTAAACATTAAAGCAGAGACACTAAATTTCCTGGAAGAGAAGTGGAAGGAACTCTTGAAGACATAGGGGTAGGCAAAGAGTTCATGAACAGAAATCAAATTGCACGGGAAACAGGTGAAAGAATTAACAACTGGGACTTGCTCTTAATGAGAAGTTTTTTCATGTCAAAGAAATTACCAACAAAGTGAAAAGGCAACCCACAAACTGGGAAAAAATCATGACAAATAAGTACTCAGACAAAGGTCTGCTCTCTAGAATTTATAAAGAACTAAAAAACAGTAGGGTCCCAAAATTTAATGACCCAATCCAGAAATGGGCATCCAAGATGAACACACACTTTTCAGAGGAAGAAATTAAAGAAGC